CGGAGTCAATTATTTGTGCTGGACACTTGCGTGTGGTGGTGTACCATGATGTGAAATGGTGAACGCTCACCGTTGTTCCCCCCCCCCACCATTTCTGGTGTTCCGGCTGTTGATGGAAGGAGGGAGTCCAAGTAGCCATTGATTCTCTTAGAAAGGGTACAGACTGTTCATGTGAAACTCTTGGATGCAAGTCAACGTCATGCTGTCCTGGGTCTTTCATGTCTGTGTGAACAGACAGGCACTGCCAGCTGGTCACATCTCAATGTAGGGTTAAAGCCCTATGAGAAGCCTTGATGAGCACAGGCTGATATTACCATACAGTGCTAGGAAAGCACTGCATTGCCTGAAGTTCCATCCTTCACATGAGGTGATAAACCGAGGTTCCCCTGCCTGTTCAGGTGGACATTAATGTTCCCATTACAATATTTGAGGGTCTTTTTTCCCCACGAATTGCTATTTGAAGGATCTTGGTGCCAATAAATTGGTTGCTGTGTTCAACCCACAAAATACAGTCAAATCACTTTACAATATATCTTGTGAAGCACTTTGAGATGTCTCAACAGCATGATCAGGCGCTATTTCAAATGCAAGTATTATTATTATTATTAATAATGTGGCTGCCAGTATCACCACACTTGACAGCAATTTCCTTGAAGTGCTTGATGCTGTTACTATATCAAATGTAACAACTGTGAAAAAAGACAGGAAGACATTAATTTCCAAAGAGATTCTCATGAGTAGTCCATACAGAGAAGCCAATGGCATCTTTCACCTCTTCCCTTAACTGCCCGATTAAAAAAACCAGGAACCTGGTGTGGGAGAAGTGTGAGCCATTTACATTTCATAATCTTTGGCCGGGCGTCTGCATATTTTGAGAGAGAGAGACCAGGAATTATTAGTTCCTCAATTCTACTATAGAGAGATCAAACATGTTTTTTGTATTTTATGCAACCAGAGAAACATTTCTACTGCGGGCTATAATTTGCATTTAAACAATGGACATTCTCTTCTCCTTTTATACAGTGGTGCAGATACTCAAATCAGGTTCAATGCAACAATAGTTACTGCTGGTACTCCTACAGGAAAGAGAAAAAATAAACATGGAGGAACTATAAAGCCATTTATAATCAGTTAATGTCCAACAGGATCTCTGAATAATTGATCCCACAACCAATCCCTATGTGTAAAAAAAAGTCTGAGAACACTGAGGCCATCAGGCAACCCAATTACAACTTCAGTTAACAGTCGATGTATGGAACATAGTTTTATGTAGCTCAGTATCATAGAGCACCAAGTCATTGGAGTGTGCAAGGAAAGAGGTAAAATAGTCCTTTAATTAGCACATTGGATCCTATTAAACAACAATGCAAAGAATTAAATAATTTAAAGTGTGTGTAATACACACATAGTACTGTCTGAGAGTTCAAAGAGATATTTAAAATAGTATTTTCTCAAACAAAACGATGCAGAATATTGAGGGCTTTTGCATGATTGAATGCGCCAAAGATGAATCAAGCATAACAAACTATATTAAGCTAATTTTACATGTGGAAGAGATCCAGGTTTATCAGTCTTAATTAGGTCACACTGCAGCATTCTCTTCTCATGAGGTCCTAGTCGCAGTTCTGGTGAGCTGTCATTGAAATTCGATCCTTTGTCACAAGACACTGCACAGCACCTGGATATATTTTGCTTAAGAAAAAATATCTTCATTCAAATGCACACTGAAACCAAGAATGCACTTAGCTAAACTGTGTTTCGACCAACAACCTATTCATTGACAATAGTTAGGTTGACATTGAGCCAGTGGACAGGAGATAGCTTAGACAATTAACAAACAAGCACGAAACAGAAGCAAAGAGTGGTGGGAGGGAAGAGGACAAGAACTGTCACTGCAGCAAATATGCACAAATCTATTACAGGTAAAAGAGCAGAAAGTCGTATCAGTCTGGACCATAACATTTAATACAACTTAAGTGAAATAGGAGTCACTGGCAAACTCGCACAAGTTTTAAATTAGACGACTTAATATGATTTATGCAAGTTAAGTTTGTCTTTCGTGAGATGATGAGGGTCAAGACCTCGTTTCTGTACTTGTTTCAAATGCAGGACTAAGTGCACATGCAGGACTTCATTAATGCAGCTGGGAGGTGCACATGAGATACTTCAATGTAGCCAGTAAATGGGATAGAAGCAATATGCATTAGGGGATAATTAGCATTAGGATTTAGAATTATTTGGAACCAAGAAATCTTTATGATTTAGCCCTTTATCTGACTTGTAAAATATGACTAGTGCAAAGTAATAAGTTTTTTTTGGTAGGAATATGAATGCGACCGATTTAGGCTATCATAATTTATAACGACAACTAATGCAAGTTTACCTGTGCAGTAAAACCCCAGCTTACTGGATTCCGGGTAGCTGGAATTCAGCCCTAGCCAGACCAGGCCTGAAACCAAAACTTAAAAAAAGTCATGGGTTCGCACGCCCCACCAGCCTAACTCTCCTAGCAATCGCTAATATCACGCTGAACAGCCTATATGATCCCAAAACTTCCTGCCTTACTGTCCTTTCTCTGCCTTCAGGACAGTGTGTGACATGTCAGCCATTTGTCTGTCCAACACCGAGTCATGTTAAAGGTTGTCCACATAGGTGAGGGATTACTTTTTATTAAAAAAAAGTGGTGGAAATGCAGATTCAATGCTGGTAAATACACCATAGGCATTGTCTGGCACTGCATACACATTTTTTTACATTAGCAACATTGCAAGTACACCTAGCCAAAAATTCCAGTTTATTGGACCAGATCTCCTTATGCACACACACGCCTGGGTAACCAAGGTTTTTCTGTATTTCGTGTTGACAAGAACAGATTTACATATACTTGGGAGCTCTTTACTACAGTATTACTGTATTTGTTCCACAGATCAAAACAACTTGAGAAAACGGGAACAACACCTCAATTCTTGCTCATTCAAATTCAACCTGATGTTTCCAGAAAACAGCATCTTTACTAAAGCACCAACCTAGGTTCAAGTAACAGGAAGGGAAATTTAACTGGATGAGGCATTGAAGGCCAACCTCCCATATGTGGAAAACAGATAAAATTCCACCCAAACTCTGGCAGAGAGAGAGAAAAAAAAATCAAACCTCGCCAAAGAGCTTATTAAATTGATTGAGAAACGTTTCCTATAAGAAGATTACCTAACTGAGAAAAGTTCCAAATATTGTGAACTAAATCCAAGCAAAGAGCTCACCAGACTCCTGCAGTACTCAGAGGGACACGCCTTATGATACCTGTCCAGAAAGTGAGGCAGAGAAGCCCAGCAAAAGAGCCCCCAATGTTAAAAACTTAAGAAATCCACGTCACAAAAGGCAGCCATTTGGCCCATTCAGTCAGCAACTTGGGACGACCTCCCAACATGAAAGGCGCTATACAAATGTAATTTTGTATTGTAGAGCACAGAGATCAATTCAATCCCACTGCCCCACCTTATCCCATACCCCTTCAAGCTCCTGTCTTTCATATTTCTGTCTACTTCCCTCTTGAAAGCAACAATGCCTTCACCACCCCAACAACACTCTGGGTGAAACAAAATCCTCTCAAGTTCTCCTTCCCTGTTCTTGTGGCTATATTATAACAATGTTCCATAGCCACAGACTCCCCTATCAATTCTCCCTATTTATTCTGTCAAAACTCTTCTTAATTTTGTACACCTCTATTAGGTCCGTCCTCAACCTTCTCTGCTCCAATAAAAACAGATCCAGTTTCTCCAAAATTCGACATACAACTGTAGCCCTTCACCCTCAGAATCATTCTCGGCATGTTGATGGAACCACCGCATATTTTGATCAGTGTCTAAATCTTTGCTTAATTGTAACAACTTGTTAGAATATGTATATACACACCTAATATAAATACCCTTGTATTTTTTTTAATGTTCTCTCCATTGGCACCTGCCTGTGCTCCTCATGATGGGGATGTGTTTTACTCACCCTGGTTGTCTTCCTGCTCAAGTGATCATCAACTATTGTCTTCAGACAAATATTGCCATGATAAACATTGCTTTCAGGAAGATCTTTACAGGACAAAGTGTGACACGCCAGCCACCTTGGTGTTCCAGCAGCAGCAAGTCATACTAAAGATTTTAAATTCAAAGCCTAGTCTGTATTGGGTTCACCACCAGATTGTGAAAACTGGTCTTAGTACCCTCTGGTTTAGGGAGGAAAACAATTGGGTTTCCTCCTTGCTTTTACTATCCATTGATGCCCTACTGGAAAGTGCACTTGGACATTGGGCAAAGTCATGCAAAAGCCTGCCAAAACACACTGTAGTCTATAAGATGGTGAATTTCCCATTTTAGAGTTGCAATAAATATATCTACATCACTGTATGATGGTGGGGACTTCCAAAATCTATCATCTCATAAATTGGCTCTCGGCAAGGGACCAGAAAATACCCAAGGCATGTGGATTTGTATTCCATCAACAGTCAGGAGCCCTTCAATTAGCAGAGGAATAATAGGGTTAAAAAAAATTCTTTGGGAAGATGATCTTATGTACACGCTCGATTTTACCACTTTAATTATTAAAGGTGAACACTCGATTTAGACTGACACTTCTGAACTCAAGAGTGGGAAAACAAAAATGTCTGGCAATGGTATTTAAATATACTTCAACAGTTACTAAAGAGGCCACATGCTGAGGAGTTTAAGTATAGATAGCAAATATGGATAATAATGCTTTGGCATTATCTATCACTCTTAAAGCATCCCCAATAATTCACCTAAGCAGCATGAAACACTAACATTCGAATTGGGGTTTCTGGTGCGTTATAAGTATTAAAATATCACAATATAAGTTTTGCACCCTGGGCTGCTCTGACAATCACTAGAAATGGGATTTCCATCCCCAGCTTTAAGTACATTAAACAGTTGGCTGCCAATAGAGTCTTAGCAATTCAAATGCACAAAACAGACCTGTTGAACGTAATATCTTACCTTTTGAATTGTTTGAGAAATATTCCAATATTCATGCTTCTTTTCGCATCCAAAATATTGATCTAAAATATAAAAATAAAAATTATGCAGCAACAATTCTGAACAAGTGGCCAAAAACTGCATTAATTGTTCAGAAAGTTGTGGAGAGACATTCAAGTGCCAGCTGAGGTCCTGTGATGCAACTAGATCTATCTAGAGCAAGGAGAGTTTGGTCACATTTACTGTTGCAAGTCAACAAGTCAACAGACTGAGGAGACGCAATTAGTTTTGGCAACTAAATATGATGTCTGTAGAAGGGAGTTTAGAATTCACTGTAGCCCACTTTTTGAACACATGGGTTCAATGCAGTTGAAAGACAGATTTAATTTTGTAATCAAAACCAGAATAAAACACTATCCTGTGCGAGCGGTGCTATATAAATGTAAGTTGGTGTTTTGTGTATGTTGTAATTTTATTTTCTAAATGGGACCTAAACCCAACCCAACTGGGTCAATCAGGACAAACTTTTTTGGAAACTAAACTGACAATTATCTATGAGATAGCAAAAGCAACAACACCACTACCTTCCACAGAGCTCAAACCTCGTTCGAGTGAACTGCAGCTCTGTGTTCCCACTTACCTGATCTGACCTACTTTCCAAAACAGATTCTCCTATAGCGCAAGCACCAATAGAAACTTCATCTACATCTGCCCTTGATATGACACGGATGCCTGTTGGATTTAGATACAAATTCTAACGATTAAAACAAAATTACAACATACGGACACAATGCCAACAGGAAGCACAAGGATTCCACGGTGACACTGGATAACAAACAGTTAAATGGTAACTGCAAACAGATTTCTCTCCTTCCCACATTCTACTTGGATTCAGCTCTAATTTAGCTGATTAATCCCCTTTCCTGGCACTGAGACTCTTAAGCAAACTTCAGCTTAGTATTTTCTGTCCCTCTCATCCATATCCTGTGACCTGTTGTCTTTTGTCCAACTCTGAAACGCAACTTAATTCCACTCAAAATCTTTTCCTCCTCCAACCTTTCTGTTGCCACAGGTTGAAGGAAAAATATCCAGGGAGGAGAATGCAAAACTTTAGAACAACACTGTGTTTTATCTGAGTCAGACAACATGTATAAAAATAAAAACACATCAAGTAACCCATCATATAGTGATATTTACAATACTTCTTTGCTGTGCATCCTTTCAAACAGGTTACAGTTTACAACAACAAATTACATTAGTATAACTCCATTCTCACGGGAGGACATCTCAAAGGGCTTCGTACGACTGACTGGAGGCAGTGTTATCGTTGGGGGAGGACAATCAGACCAAACAAAGAGATGTGTCTAGTGGCGGATTTTGAAATGAGGGAGCAAGGTGGATGGATTCCAGGCTGGAGTTCCAGAGAGTGGGGCAGAATGATTTAAAACTTACTCACCGATAGTGGAGCAGAGTGAGACTTGAAACAGACAAGCGTTTGCTGATCAGAGGGAGCGACCAGGGCAGAAAGTCACAGGATGGGGCAAAGCCATAGAGGCATTTGAAAGGGAGGACAAGAATCTTGAATTTGATCCACTGGGCATTGAAGAATCGAGGTTGTATTATATCAGCTAAACTCAACTTGGAAAATATGACTATTTTATTCTTTCTCCTCCCTCCACTTCATCACTGCTGCTTACATTTTGCTGCATCAGTCTCTAACTGTGGCCTAAGCAGGCAATCTTGTCTCAGCCTGCTTCCTAACTGGGCACTTGGAATGCATGAGACTTGTCAACACTGGCAAGCATTCCTATTTCCATCTGCTCTGGTCCACCTTCCTACATCTCAGCTAAAATAAACTTTATTTGCATGTGGGAAGTGGAGCTCACAGTTACATCTTACCACTGCATGCCACCGTTGATACACCCACGCTCAATTATATGCATAGACTATTAAAGGCTGAATGTTTGCCTGCCTACTTGAGTCTGTATTCTCCACACATTTCTTTTGACAGGATGGTCCATTTTTCTCCACTTTCAGGCCACAGACCACTGAGCAAGCAGCAAAGACTGGAACACCTCCACTTTCAACAACAACAACAACAAGATTGCATTTATAGAGCACCTTTCACGTCGGGAGGACGTCCCAAGGCGCTGGATAGTTGGGTCAGGACCTGAGCAGGGGGGAAATGGTCAGGGTGAGGGGAGGGAAGGGAGGGAGCGAGGAGGGGGTAGAGGGTCGAGAGGGGAGCTGAAGGCACGGTCAAAGAGAAAGGTCTTGAGTCCGGCCTTGAAGGAGGAAAGGGAGGAAGCAAGGCGAAGGCACTGGGGGATGGAGTTCCAGAGCCTAGGGGCTGAAGGCCCGGCCTCCGATGGTAGGGAGGTTGGGGCGGGGGATGTGGAGCAGACCGGAGCCAGAGGAACGGAGGGTACGGGCAGGTAGGTAGGGGGATAGTAGGTCGGAGAGGTAGGAGGGAGCGAGGCCGTGAATGGCCTTGTAGGTGAGGATGAGGATCTTGAATTTGATCCTCTGGGGGATGGGGAGCCAGTGGAGGCGAGCGAGGGTGGGAGTGATGTGGTCCCGAAGCCTGGTGCGGGACAGTACACGAGCTGCAGAGTTCTGAATGACCTGCAGCTTGTGGAGGGAGGTGCCGGGAAGGCCGGCGAGGAGAGAGTTCCCATAGTCCAGTCTTGAGGTGATAAAGGCGTGGACCAGAGTTTCAGCAGCGTGAGGGGTGAGGTAGTGCCGTAGTCTGGCGATGTTTCGGAGGTGATGGAAGGCGGTGCCAGTTGTTTCATCCCTACTATCCAAACAGAACCAGGAGGATGAGTGACTCATCTTTCTAGTTGTGGCTTCACTGTGATAAAACCTCTGTACAGGGGCTTGCTGCTTGCCATCTGTGTTGTGGGAAGATCTTACATTTGAATAAACACAGCTCTTTGAAGTTTTGAACCTAAAACACCAGTGCCAACAACAGATTCAAGCAGATTCTGGATCTCTACAGGCTTTATTTTAACACAAGCAAATCGTCACATCTATAGTAAGTTTCTATCAGCAATTATCGTCTTTACACACAAGATACCCACATTCTTTTTATCATGCTGATGCTTGTTGTACATACATACACATGAACACCCACTTTGGCAAGGTACCAGATAATGTCCAGCTTCTGATAGAGCTGTACCTCAGCAAAACTCCATGCTTTACTTCTGTTGGGGAGGGGGCAACGGCAGAAGAATCTACACTGTTCTGTGACAATAAAAAAAAGTTAAATTGATTTACCTCTTCAACTTTGTCTCTAAACGAAGATCTAGAATTCTTGTTCTTCGTACCAAAGGCATCCTGTTGTCCAAACAGCTCCTCAATGGTCTGGGTGTCAATCTTGTAAGAATGTTCTCTCGATTGAATGGTCCAAATATTGGTTTTACCCCGGATATGCTCCTCCGGTATAGTTTTCCAGAAAAAGCTCCGTATCCGTTTTTTGGTACTTTTATGGACGACATGGGGACCCGGTGGTGGGGGTGGAGGAGGTGGTGGAGGAGGTGGTGGAGGAGGGGGTAGTCCTGGTGGTGGAGGAGGGGACAATCCGGGTGGTGGCAGCAGAGGAGGAGGTCCAGGTAATAAATCATCAGACACTAACGGAGAACCTGCATTCTCTTTGTCATTTATAAATGACAGGCAACTCATCACTTGCATTGTAATCCAAAGAAAACAATAACTTGGCTTTTCTTCTTGCAAAGTCTTTAACGGCTCAGTTAAATCACACCCATTGTGCTGACAGCAGATGACAACCGCCTTTCAGTCATCAGATTCTGTGGACACAGGCCACTGAGGAGTGCACATCCCGGATGGCTCATATTTAACCATGTTTGTTCTAACGATGCATTGGCAACCTGTTTACAGAACAATAAGCCCCAATGTTAAAAACAGATCATCTATTCATTTAACAAATGAAAATCATTCACAAATGTAATCAATCGCAGTGCACAACAAGGGGAACTTTTAATTTAGATTTCTGACAAATCTAACCTGAATTAATAGTGAAAAAAAATCAAACTGGGAAAATGAATATTACAGCCATGGTCCCAATTTTTGATAAACCAGCAGGCTAGTTTTTTACCCCTCCTCCAGTCTTTTTTTCATAGTGCTGCCTTTCCCCCCACCCCCATCCTCAGTCTTGTTCCCACCATTTCCCACAAAATTAAGACTTTTTCATACAATCTTTCACCATGACCATATTACTCTTTGGAATCTGTTTTGACTGTGGGGGGCTGAGATTGTCAAACAATGGGACCCATAGCGACAACTAGCAATAGGAGGAAGAGTAGTTATAATGAATGAACAACAAGGATTTGAGATAGTGCCTAATCACATTTTCGACACATCTCAAAGCACTTGACAGAATTTATTGTAAAGTGTAGTGACGATTTGTAGGCAAACATGCCACCAATGTGTGCACAGCAATGTCCTATAAACGGCCATTAAGTGAATGATCAACTTTTAAATCAAGAGCAGGCCAGGACATAGTGAGAAATTCCCTTCGCTTTTTTAAATCATGTATTGCGATCTTCAATGTTCACCTGAACAAGCAATTTAACAGCTCACCCAAAGGACAAACCATCAACAATGCAGCATTCCCCCTGCACTACATTGATATGTCAGCCTGGACTCTCAGTTCAAAGTCCCAACTATATGAGCATTAAAAATACAGGCAAGATTGGGTATATCAAGTGATAAAGATGCTGTATCACTGAAGCAATAAGTTTCTTAATGAACTGATATCTGCAGTGAGGCTATGATCAGATAGCCTGACAGATTAGAGTTATCTGCTTGGCTTCTCAAATAGTTACAAGTAAACACTTTTTCAATCCATCACAAATTAAATAATATTAATCTGTATTGCTTGAGTTGCTGGGAGAATTTGTGGACTTGTGAAAATTACTTTGAGAGATTGGAGATACGATAGGATTTCAACAATTTGGATACAAAACAGTTGACAGAAAGATTAGTGCAAAGTTCTGATGATAAAGCCTCTACTTTATTATTTCTGTGTGCACGTCCCACATGTGTCCCTCTCAAGATTGAAAACGTGATGCCTAGATTTTGGTTAAAGCAAATTGGAAAAAGAAATATTTTAAAACCATGTAATTCAAATCTGCTTATATGTTCTGACAGTATTTTAATACTGTACTACAATGTGGAATTACTAGTACAGAAGGATTTGCTGTAATGACCTCACTACAGATTCTAACCAGTAGCACGCTCTTCCATTCACCTCATTGGGTTTAATCGAGTTCTCGATATTTTTATAGCATCTCATAAAAACAGCTGTTCAGGGCATTGCTCCAGACTCAATCACCAGAAGTGATAAAGCAGATCCAAGACCACGTGGAGAAGAGGAATCCGGGAATGACTGCCAGTGATTTCCCCACCAGTCGTTTCACGAGAGTTCAGAGGATTCCTTAAAGTAACCATGAACTCTTGGAGACATAACTGCAAGGGAAGTGAAGGCCAATCTGTTTCATGGGTGCCACCTTCCAGATCCAAATGGTCATTCTGTACACATGATCCCTGATAGGAAGAGTCAGGCGGCTACTCAACTGTGAGGGGAATCACGGCCAAGCCTCAGGTGACAACCACATTGTGCACTCTGGAGCCCAGAAAAGATTGGCTTCTGCTGCACAGAAGCCTCAGCTGAAGTCCAAGTTGTAGCACGTGTGAAGCAATAAGAAGTTTTTGGAGGGGATGGAAGGGGGTGGAAGGGATTGGAGAAAGATTCACTCCAGAAAATATACATTTAAGCTATTTAAAGCAAACCAGAATGATGTTGTTTAAATTGTTCCATAGATACATTTTTTCCCTACTCTTGATTGGGAACACGACCGCACCAGCCTAGTGGGCCAGTTTCTGCACAGTCATTTCCAAGCAGAACATACATCAACTGGAAGCTTCAATTCCCACAGGCTAAAAACAAGGTCTGACAGAATCTTAATAGGATGCCTGTGCAAATCTTAAAATATTTTACACTAAAACACTGCAGCAAAACACAATGTAAATTATTAAAGAAGATTATTGTGTCTTTTATTACAAATATTAGTAACTACTACATATTGCCACTAAACCCAGGTATTTTATAAAGTGAGCATTTCACAAATTAAGACTAATCAGACAACTGGTTTAAAATGAGTAACTGGAAGTCTGTCTCACACAGCTCAAAAGCATTGCTCAGAGGGACCAAGGAGCGACATTGACTGTCCATGAAGGGACAGACAATGTAGGGCGAAAAGAATAGAGAGAATCCATTAAAAACTAATGAACCAGAACAAGAAAGTACCCTTCCATCACTAGTCTAGCCCAGGAAGTTTCCCCTTGACCCTGATGTCAGGGCCAAAATAGATGGTGGAAAAACAAAAAGGATAAAAAAAGAGAAAGGTGAAAAGAGTTAAAATAGGAGAGAACAGGAAAGTTAAAAAAAGTAATAAATCTCGTGATGACAAAATGTTCAGATTTGTTGGAAACTGTTTTTAAGTAGTTTAGGGTTGATTTTAATTACAGTAATAAACCACTGCCATTCAGATATTTACCAGCTTCACTGTGACACCAGAATACTATAGCGTGGGTTCAGCAACACAGTGCCGAGCCAATGGAGGGTTGAAGGATAGTATCACAATTAAAAGCCACAATCCATCATGGTGGAGAAATTCTAGCAATAAAGCTGACAACGCCAATAAAAACAATCACAATACACAGAGCAGCCCCTTCATCACTCACTGTAAAGTCACAGTTCGATCACCAGGGTATTAAAGTTACACNTTTTTTTATTTTGGAGCATGACACAAAATAACCTCAAGATTTATTAAAGATGTCAACCTGGCTCAATTGGAAGTACGTTTGCCTCCGAGTTAAAAGGTTGAGAACTTAAACCCCATGACAGGACTTTGAGCTCAGTCTAAGTGACATTAGATTGAAAGGGTGGTGGAAGCCAATTTGATAACAACTTTTAGGAGAGAAGTAGATAATTATTTGGGGAGGACAAGCTTGCAGGGCGTTAGGGAGAGCGCGGGGAGTGGAATTAATTTGGATAGTTCTTTTAAAATGACCTCCTTCTGCGCTGTGTAATTCTAGGATTCAGTTCAGTGCTGGGGGACTGTTGCATTCTTGAAGATGCTGCTTTGTCGGGAGTCTGCCTGAGGTTTCCGCATGTGTCAAACATTCAGCTCACCAAAATAAATGCTAATGAGGGACATGGCAGGCCTCGTTCATTTGCAAGACTTGGAGGAGCAGATCAGTCACTGGGATTATTCCCACTACAAGCTGAAGACTCCATAATACTGTTCAAAAAAAGAAGGTAACTCTCCCAGTGTACTTCAGAACATTGTAACATAGGGCATTATATCAATTAAATAATAATCCTTGCACTTAAATACAATTATACGTGTCAATTCTCTTAATAATAATAATCCTTGGATTTGATATAGCGCTTTTCACGTCAGGAGGACGTCCCAAAGCGCTTCACAGAACACACTGTAAAGTGAATTGACTGTATATTTGTGGGCGAACGCGGCAGCCAATAGCGCATAGCAATGTCCCACAAACAGTCGTAGATTGAAAATGACCAATTTATTATTGTTTTTGGTTTTGGAGGGATTATTATTAGGCTCTGTGTGGAGTAAGGAAACTTGCCCAAGGTTTCGCCCTGACCTGCCTGGAATTGAACTCAGGTCTCTCACTTGCAAAGCGAGTGCTCTAACCACTGAGCTACAGGACTCCCTCTTGATCAAATGCAAGGAAATATATTTCACAATAAGTACCAACTCAAGAGAATTGATAAATGATCTACATACATATAGAAAGCCCACCCCCCCACACAAAAAAAATCCATTCCCACCACTCCCTCAAACCAGAATAAGGCAAGCAATTGTAATGTCTTTTTTTGAACTGAACTTTTTTTTTTTTTTTGAATACTGTCCCCAATAATCGAAATTTATAAATAAACGTTGTGGTGCCTGCAGCTTTAAACACGTTTGCACAGATAAACCTTCACCAATGGGACATGGATCTATCTAGGGCAAATTGTACTTTTACTAAATTTAGTCACAGTATTTTATGAGACCTGCAGTACAAACTGATGCATCCCTTCAATGAAACTTACTCACAGGCACACGATTGAATTTCTCGATTTAAAAAAATATAGATCATACATATATACATATACACACACACACGCACACACATAAATAAAAAGAGTTATGCATAAATCTCACACTTGTCTTCTGGATCCTTCTTGCAGAGCAGAACAGCGTTTGGGAAAAATGAGGCGGATGAAATAGTTGAACCAACACGGGAGACCAAGAGCAGACGTGACCGACTCTGATCAGAGGCGGTGTTTGAAGTCGCATCAAAGCGGAGTGTTTTTGGGGGGGGGAAACAAGGAACAGATCGCTTACAGCGCATGCAACCAGGTGGCAGCATTCACCAACTTGCCAGCTAACTGCTAACTTACCTGCTAAGTTAGAGAGGGGGCTTCCTTGGGGAGGGGAGAGAGAGATGGGGGTTTCCTTAGGGGGGGGAGAGAGAGGGGGGGTTTCCTTGGGGGGGGGGGGAGAGAGGGGGGTTTCCTTGGGGGGGGGAGAGAGGGGGCGGTTTCCTTGGGGGGGAGAGAGGGGGGGGTTCCTTGGGGGGGAGAGAGAGGGGGGGGGTTCCTTGGGGGGGAGAGAGAGGGGGGGGTTTCCTTGGGGGGGAGAAAGAGGGGGGGGTTCCTTGGGGGGGAGAGAGAGGGGGGGGTTCCTTGGGGGGGAGAGAGAGGGGGGGTTTCCTTGGGGGGGGGGGGAAGAGAGAGGGTGGTTCCTTGTGTGGGAGAAAGAGAGGGTTCCTTGGAGGGGGGGAGAGAGAGAGGGGGGTTTCCTTGGGGGGGGGAGAGAGAGGGGGGGTTTCCTTGGGGGAGAGAGTGGGGGTTTCCTTGGGGGGAGAGAGAGAGAGGAGGGGTTCCTTGGGGGGGAAAGAGAGAGGGGGGGGGTTCCTTGGGGGGGGGAGAGAGAGGGGGGTGGTTCTTTGGGTGGGGGAGAGAGAGAAGGGGGGGTTTCCTTGGGGGGGAAAGAGAGAGAGAGGAGGGGGTTTCCTTGGGTGGGTGGGGGGGAGAGGGGGATTTCCTGGGGAGGGGGGTGTGGGGGGAGAAAGAAAGAGTCGAAAGTGAAACACAAAGGAAGAGAAGTGTGTGTGTGTAAAAAACACACACACACAACGACTGTTGGTTGGGAGAGAGGTCTCGGTGTGTTCACTGCACAACCTGCGCCTCAGTCATCAATAGGTTTGCAGTGAACTCAATTCGGATCTGAAAGCGGTTTACAGACAGACAGACAGTCAGACAGTCAGACAGTCAGACACACACACACAAACCAAGCCACGCCGGGGTCCTTAGCAGCAGTATCTATGCTAACATTTTCTTCTTCTCTCTATCTATCCATCTCCCTCCTCCCTCCCCCCTACCTGCAGTATTTTGGCCCCTCTCTCTCCCTCCAGTGCTCTCCCTCTCTCTCTCTCACTCTCCCCCTCCAGTGCTGTCCCTCTCTCTCTCTCACTCTCCCCCTCCAGTGCTGTCCCCTCTCTCTCTCTCTCTCCCCCTCCAGTGCTCTCCCTCTCTCTCCCCCTCCAGTGCTCTCCCTCTCTCTCTCTCACTCTCCCCTCCAGTGCTGTCCCTCTCTCTCTCTCTCTCTCCCCCCCTCCAGTGCTCTCCCTCTCTCTCCCCCTCCAGTGCTCTCCCTCTCTCTCTCCCCCCCCCTCCAGTGCTCTCTCTCTCTCTCTCTCTCCCTCCAGTGCTCTCTCTCTCTCTGACTGTTTGACAGTCTGAGAGGTGGATCTGTCCCTAAAACCGCAGCCTTTTGTTCTGCTGATAAAACCAGATACAAAAACGTGCATTGTGTAGTCTCTCGTCCATCCCTCTCCCTTTTCACACACATATATATATATATACACACACCCCCCCCCCCCAATGCCCTGCCTACCTGCTCTCCTCTCCCCTCTCCCCAGCCTGGCAGAGCTGCAGGGCAGTGCTCCAGAGCAGAGGAGGAGGAGGGAGGGAGGGAGGGAGGAAGGAGGAGGAGGAGGGAGGAAGGAGGAGGAGAGAGGAGGCATCATTGCAGTCAGTCACCCGTTGATCAATACCCCCACCTCCCCCCCCCAGAACCTGAGGAGAATGTAATGTGCTGGGAATCAATAGACACCACAGCATTGCTCAAGCCCTTTTTATCCACTCAACTCTACCCCTCTCTCTCTCTCTCCCCTAACCCCCACACACACACCCCCCACCCCCCCCCATACCCCACCCACATACCCCCACACACACTCACCCCCCAAAAAAAAATATTCTTTCAATTTTATAACTAATAAAAGTTTTTTATTGGTGGGGGGGTGGGAGAGAGATAGAGAGAGAGGGAGGGTGGGTGGGTGGGGGAGGGGGTTTGGGGGGGGGTTGGGGGTTGGGGGGGGGAGGAGAATTTGCACTGAATGAAGCAGGTTATTACAAAGTGTTTAAACATCTCAGAGGGCATTGTGTGTGTCTTCTCTTCTATGCACTGCAAACCCCAGCACAGCCCTCATGCCGTCTGCCTCAGGGTGAGGGCTTTGTAAAAAGCTGCTGCCAGTGTCTGTGTGTCTGTCTGTCTGTGTGTCTGTGTCTGTCTGGGGGGGGGGGGGGGGGTGAGGGGGGAGAGAAAAGAGAGAGACCTTCCACTGATCCAAACCCCCAGTCACAGTAACCCATCCCCTCCCTCGGACCCATTGCATATTCCCAACAGAAACTTAACTCACGCAGCGTTTTCCTCTCTCCCCCTCAAAGTGCTAACATTTTAAAACTCCCAATTGCATTGACACATTATATGCACAGACTGTGCAACATATTATTGATGATATGCAACATTTATATACCTATATATATATATATATGGAGAGAGAGAGAGAGGGGGGGGAGGGGTATGGGGTGGTGAGGAGATATTCAAACCCATAAACGAACCAAAAGCTATAACAAAAATAAACCTGAAAGAAAGGAAGAAAGAAAGGCACAGACAGACAGACAGAGACAGAGAGACAGAGAGAGAGAGAGAGAGAGCAGCAGCAGATGGAGAGCTCTGCGGAATAACTTACTGGTGGCGATTTCCATGCAGCAACCGGTTGCACCAGGAGCAGAGGGGAGGGGAGGGGAGGCTGCAGCCTGAGTGAGCCCTGGAGGACAACAACGCCAACAACTACCCCCAGGGAGCAGGGCCACAGTCAGCTACTTACTTTGCCTTGAGTTGAGAGAGGAGAGGTGTGTGTGTGTGTGGGTCTGTCTGGGTGTTGCTCGCCCCCCCACGGGACGAGGGAGGGAGGAAGGGAGAGTGTGGGTGTTGCAGGTCGCCTTCCCTTCCCCACTGGGCAACCAGCCAACACCACATGCGCAGCTCCTCCCGGGACTCCTGCAGGTGACAGCACTCACCCACTCCCTCCCATCCATCCCTCCCTCCCTCCCTCCAGCCTCACACTTATGCATAACATTAACCACTGACATACACCCCCTCACCACCCCCTCCCCACCCCCAGGACCACGATCCCACCCCCCACCCACCCCTCACATTGCATTGCATTGTGCTGGTGAGCGATCTATTAATAATAATAATAATAATAATAATATTTAATACCAATATTCCCAGATTAAACATTGCCACATCGTTGCAACAGATGCGAGACTATCAATCCCCCCCACCCCCCTCCAGCCCACCCCCCCCTCACCCCCTCCAGCCCACCCCCCCCTCCATCCCCCCCCAGCCCACCCCCCCCATCCCCCTCCAGCCCACCCCCCCCCCCCCCACCCTGAAATAAAAACGATCTTGTGTGTGTGTGTGTGTGTGTGATCTGTCCTCAGCATTTTTTTTTGGGGGGGGAAGAGGGCGCAGCGAACCGATTGCGGATTTTCCGCAACGTCGCTCTCAGCGTTCGTTAAACCGATAACACGTTCGAGACGTCTCGGAAGAGCTTCGCGGTGATGCGCTGCAAAAGTGAATTGAACGGTGCATTTTGTGTCGGGGGGGGGGACCAGAAGCAATGTTGTGGGGGTTTTTACACCCCCCCCCTCCTCCCCTCTCCTCCCAAAAAAAAAAGAAAGCGATCGACGTCTGAAACAAAAACAAAAAAAGACGTCTCACTTTAAGATGATAGTTACTGGTGGATCGGTTCACTGAGCATTTGGGCTTTGTGAATCATTTGGACCTGGTTGTGGCAGCGATCCGGGTTTAGATCGGGTTTACTGACTCAGTGCACCTCACACCGACCCAACCCGACCAGACCCAACCCAGACCAGACCCAGACCAGACCCAGACCCAGACCCAACCTGACCCAGACCCAACCCGACCCAACCTGACCCAGACCCAACCTGACCCAGACCCAACCCGACCCAACCTGACCCAACCCAACCAGACCCAGACCCAACCTGACCCAGACCCAACCCAGACCCGACCCAGACCCAGACCCAGATCCGACCCAACCCAGACCCGACCAGACCCGACCCAACCCAGACCCAGATCCGACCCAGACCCAACCCAGACCCAACCCAGACCCGACCCAACCCAGACCCAACCAGACCCAGACCCAGACCCGACCCAACCCAGACCAGACCCAACCCAGACCAGACCCAACCCAGACCAGACCCGACCCAGACCCAGACCCGACCCAGACCCAACCCAACCAGACCCAACCCAGACCCGACCCAGACCATTATTTTGCCCCAGTGACAATACATCAGCTGATAGCTGGACAGACAAGACAGGACATCTCTCAGCATCAACTGGGTTTGTAAATGTCAGAGAGAAAATTAACCCCCAAACACACACACACACACACAACCCCAAACAAAACCCCTGGTAACACCAAATAAATACATCAACAGCGACTCAGATCAGGAGCTGAGAGAGAGAGAGAGAGAGAGGGACACAGGTTCAGTCTGTATTGTATTGATCTCATCTCTCTCTCTCCCTCTCTCTCCCTCTCTATCAAACACTTAACTCATTTGTATTAATTAACTATTCCAGATCGAAGCTCATTATTATTATTATTACTACTACAGTCACACACACACACACACACACACAGACACCTCTAATATTTCTATCAATATAAAAACCTCACACTTTATAGGGGGCAAACGACCAGCAGCTTTTTTTCTGCCTTTCTACATTTTTTTTAAGGAAGGAAGGAAGAAGAAAAAAAAGAAAAGTGTTTCCGATCTGCTAATAATCCTTAAAAAAACGACCAATTCACAACATAGGGGCTTCCAGGTGAACCTGACTCCTCTGGTGAGAGTGAATGTGTGTGTGTGTGGATCACAGGTTGCAATTGCTTTCAGAACTACAACCTTTCTTTCCACCTTGTGATTTAAATCCTTCCCCCCCCCCCCCCCACACACACACACACATTGATCAGATTATTGGTTCCAATAAAACATCCACTCGAAAGGAAATCAAAAGCAAAGTGAATTCGACAGGATCTTCTCCCCCCCCAC